GGAATGAGGAATGTAAAGTGCAAAGTGTAAAGTGTGGAGTGTAAAGTGTAGAGTGTGGAGTCTAAAGTGTAAATTGTGGAGTGTGGAGTGTAAAGTGTAGAGTGTGGAGTGCGGAGCTTCCCCCATAGACACGGCGACGCCACAGGAAAACCAGAGACTGGAGACGAGACACGTGGGTGCAAAAAAACGAGCATTTCGTGCGAGACCTCCTCCAATTTTGACATTTTCGACACGTTATCAAACAGGTTGGAATGTCACAAAGTGCCACGCCTGCCACGCAAAACGACATGACAACCTGCTTGGAAACCTTCGAAAAGGAGATGTTTTGCAGCTTCCCCCATAGACACGGCGACGCCACAGGAAAACCAGAGACTCGAGGCGAGACACGTGGGCGCAGAAAATTGAGCATTTCGTGCGAGACCTCCTCCAATTTTCACAGTTGGCAACATGACAAAAGGACAAGCTTTGCAGCTTCCCCCATAGACACGGCGAGGCCACAGGAAAACCAGAGACTCGAGACGAGACAGGTGGGAGCACCAAAACGAGCATTTCGTGCGAGACCTTCTCCAATTTTCACACTTTGTAGCTTCAAAATCGGCGTTTTCCTACGAGGTTTCCTTAGAACCTGAAAATTTGCAACCTCAAAATCGATGTTTCGTGCGAAGCTTCCGTCCATTTTCAGCACATGTCACCAAATGCCACGCCTGCCACGAAATTTGCACCTTGTCGCCACTTGACGCAGCCCTGCCAATGCGATTTACAAAAAACACGCAACACGATACGTCTAAAGTGCTGCGCCTGCCACGAAAAATGACGATGGACACGTCCAAAGTGTTGCGCCTGCCACGAAAACTGCAACACATCTTCTGCAAACGGCGCATAAGTATTGCGCCTGCCACACAAAACGACTTTCGGCACGTTGCAGAACACGTCTGAATGTCACGAAGTGCCACGCCTGCCACGCGAAACGAAGCAACGACGCATTGGAAACCTCCAAAAATGACCACCTCTGCAGAACTTCCCATAGGCACGGCCATACGGAGTTCGTACGAAGGGTTGCGGACGGTTGCGGACGGTTGCGACCACAAACGCAACGTCGAGCGAACACAACCTCAACCCCCAGACCCCCAGAGTGAAACGGGAACCCTTGCTACGCATCCGGGAAAAAACCCAAAAAAAAGACAATAATATATTTGAAAAAAACAAAAAATATTTTAAAACCAAAAAAAAATAAAATCCCCCCCAAAAAATAAAATCCCCAAAAAAAAGTCACCAAAAAAAAATAAAATCCCCCAAAAAATAAAATCCCCCCCCAAAAAAATCTCAAAAATGAAATAAATGCCCAAAAAAAAAGTTCTTTTATCTATTTCGGGAAAACTTGTATGTATTTTTTTCTTTAGTTCAGACCCAAAAGCTAGTTTTGAATATAAAAACATAGACAACATATGCATTTTTTGTCCCTATTTTCATGCTCAAAATGTGGTTTCACTGCTGGTGGAAAGAAAAAAGTACCTACAAGTTTTTCCCAAAATAGATAAAAGAACTTTTTTTTGGCATTTATTTCATTTTTGGGATTTTATATTTTTTTTTTGGGATTTTATTTTTTTTTGGGATTTTATTTTTTTTGTTTTTTTTTTGATTTTATTTTTTTTTGAGAATTTAGTTTTTTTTTTTTAATTTTATTTTTTTTGGATTTTATTTTTTGTGTTTTTTTCAAATATATTATTGTCTTTTTTTTGTTTTTTTTCCCAAATGCGTAGCAAGGGTTCCCGTTTCACTCTGGGGGTTTGGGGGTTGAGGTTGTGTTCGCTCGACGTTGCGTTTGTGGTCGCAACCGTCCGCAACCGTCCGCATCCCTTCGTACGAACTCCGTATGGCCGTGCCTATGGGAAGTTCTGCAGAGGTGGTCATTTTTGGAGGTTTCCAATGCGTCGTTGCTTCGTTTCGCGTGGCAGGCGTGGCACTTCGTGACATTCAGACGTGTTCTGCAACGTGCCGAAAGTCGTTTTGTGTGGCAGGCGCAATACTTATGCGCCGTTTGCAGAAGATGTGTTGCAGTTTTCGTGGCAGGCGCAACACTTTGGACGTGTCCATCGTCATTTTTCGTGGCAGGCGCAGCACTTTAGACGTATCGTGTTGCGTGTTTTTGTAAATCGCATTGGCAGGGCTGCGTCAAGTGGCGACGAGGTGCAAATTTCGTGGCAGGCGTGGCATTTTGTGACATGTGCTGAAAATGGACGGAAGCTTCGCACGAAACATTGATTTTGAGGTAGCAAAATTTAGAGGTTCCTAGGAAAACTCGTAGGAAAACGTCGATTTTGAAGCTACAAAGTGTGAAAAGTGGAGGAGGTCTCGCACGAAATGCTCGTTTTTCTGCGCCCACGTGTCTCGTCTCGAGTCTCTGGTTTTCCTGTGGCCTCGCCGTGTCTATGGGGGAAGCTGCACAACATCTCCTTTTCGAAGGTTTCCAAGCAGGTTGTCATGTCGTTTTACGTGGCAGGCATGGCACTTTGTGACATTCCAACCTGTTTGATAACGTGTCGAAAATGTCAAAATTGGAGGAGGTCTCGCACGAAATGCTCGTTTTTTTGCACCCACGTGTCTTGTCTCGAGTCTCTGGTTTTCCTGTGGCGTCGCCGTGTCTAAGGGGGAAGCTGCAAAACATCTCCTTTTGGAAGGTTTCCAAGCAGGTTGTCATGTCGTTTTGCGTGGCAGGCGTGGCACTTTGTGACATTCCAACCTGTTTGATAACGTGTCGAAAATGTCAAAATTGGAGGAGGTCTCGCACGAAACGCTCGTTTTTCTGCACCCAAGTGTCTCGTCTCGAGTCTCTGGTTTTCCTGTGTCTTGTCTATGGGGGAAGCTGCAAAACCTCTCCTTTTCGAAGGTTTCCAAGCAGGTTGTCATGTCGTTTTGCGTGGCAGGCTTGGCACTTTGTGACATTCCAACCTGTTTGATAACATGTCGAATGTCAAAATTGGAGGAGGTCTCGCACGAAATGCTCGTTTTTCTGCACCCAAGTGTCTCGTCTCGAGTCTCTGGTTTTCCTGTGTCTTGTCTATGGGGGAAGCTCCGCACTCCACACTCTACACTTTACACGCCACACTCCACAATTTACACTTTAGACTCCAAACCCCACACTCTACACTTTACACTCCACACTTTACACTTTGCACTTTACACTCTTCACTCCTCACTCGAGACTTTACACTCCGCACTCCACACTTTACACTCCACACTCCTCACTCTACGCTTTACACTCGACACTTTACACTACACTCTACACTCCACACTTGACATTTTAAACTCGACACTTTACACTCCACACTCCTCACTTTACACTCCACACTCCTCACTTTACACTCCGCACTCCACACTTCTCACTTTACACTCCACACTCCACACTTCTTACTTTACACTCCTCACTCCACACTCTACACTTTGCACTTTACACTCCTCACTCGACACTTTACACTCACACTCCACACTTTACAGTCCACACTCCACACTCTACACTTTACACTATACACTTTACACTCTACACTCCACACTTTACATTTTACACTCCACACTTTACACTCCTCACTCCACACTTTACACTCCACACTCTACACACCACACTCTAGGCTTTCCACTCCACACTCCACACTCCACACTCTACACTTTGCACTCCACACTCCACACTTTGCACTTTACACTCCACACTCCACACTCCTCACTTTACACTCAACACTCTACACTTTACACTCCACACATTACACTCCACACATTACACTCCACACTTTACACTCCTCACTCCCCACTCCACACTTCACACTCTGCACTCCTCACTTTACACTCCACACTTCACACTCCACACTCCATACTCTACACTTTCCACTCCACACTCCACACTCCACACTTTACACTTTACATTCCTCACTCCACACTCCACACTCTACACTTTACACACTACACTCCACACTCTACAATCTACACTTTACACACTCCACACTCCTTACTCCACACCTTACACTCCACACTCTGCACTCCACACACCACACTCTACACTTTCCACTCCACACTCCACACTCTACGCTTTACACTCCACACTCCACACTTTACACTTTACACTCCTCACTCCACACTCCACACTCGACACTCTACACTTTACACTCCACACACCACACTCTACACTTTACACTCTACACTTTACACTCTACACTCCACACCCCACTCTACAATTTACAAACTCCACACTCCTCACTCCACACTTTACACTCCACACTCCACACTCCTCACTTTACACTACACACTCCCCACACTACACTTTCCACTTTCCACTCCACACTCTACACTTTCCACTCCACACTCCGCACTCCACACTTTACACTCCACATTCCACACTCCACAATTTACACTTTAGACTCCTGACTCCACACTCCACACTCTACACTCTACACTTTCCACCCTACACTCCACACTCCACACTCTACACTTTACACTCCACACTCCACACTTTACACTCCACACTCTACACTTTACACTCCACACGCTACACTCCACACTCCACACTGCAGACTGGTAACGGGGGAAATATGTACAAGACTGTTCACATAAACTATTGCAGAAAAGTGTTTTGCGTGATTGCATATCCATGTGTTTTGACATCTGTACCATTAACGTACGTGTGAGCATTCGGGTTCGTGGGCTGCATCTTGTTTTTATGTATTTATCTTTTTCGGTTTCATTTTTGTTTTGTTGATTTTTTTGTTTTACTTACTTTTAAATATTTTTTTCAATCTTTTCATTTTTTTTGGGTTGTTGTTCATTTTTAATTCTATCTATTTTTATTTTATTTTTTTAAATTTATTCATGTGTTTTTGTTTTTTGTTTAATTTTTTTGTTTTTATTTTTTTCCAATTTGTATTTATTTTTTCCTAATGTTTTTTTGTTTTGATTCCTATTCATTTAAATCATTTTTTGGGAAATAATAAAATATTTTTTAATTATTTTATTCTATGCTCATAGGTTTTTTGAGAGAGCTGGCGCTGGCGTTGACACTGATCGGTTTGCTTGCATTTTTTCTTGACAGCCCCAATGTGCATCTAGGGTATGACTCACGCATGTGCCAGACCTGCCAAGATAAATGCCAAAACCGAAAATTCATTTCGGCTACAACCCATAGGTCGCGAAAGTTAGCAATATATATATATATTTATTTAATGGTAGTACCCATGTATTGTTTGAAATGGAAATTTTAGTCAGATGAGGTCTGTGCACAAAGCGTCCAAAAAGAATACAAAAATAAAGATCTGATTTCATAGAAGGCCTTTTGTAAACCATTTCTAGGCCAACATGTGGCTTATGACCAATTCAGGGGGGCCCAGGCACCTGACCTTTATGGAGATGTTTTTTATTTTGGCATGGTTCTGATTTGTTGGCCCACTGATCCTGACGTAATAGAGGGAAGGTTTTTGAGATAAATTTGTTGTGTAACCGATCTCCGCATCCCGTTAACATCTTTATCAAGACCGACGGGGAATGCGTCTAACAAGCTGCCAATACAGCAGCTGACTAATGCGATAGTTATTGAGGTGATCCACATCTTAGAGATAATGAGAATATAATCGATAGATAGATATGATAGAGAGAGCGAGGGAGAGAAAGAGAAACAGACAGATGGATAGATAGAGATGATTTCAAACTAGTTCTAGATGGTTTCAGGTACCTCTTGGGAGCCCTTCCCCCAAAAAAAACAAAACATTATTTTTTTTGTTGGTTCTTTTTTTAAGGTTGTGCCTTTGAATGCGGCCGCTATAAAATCAAAAAGTTCCAGAAATTGGACTCTGTTTTTCCCGCCTCCTTGCCCTCTAACTCCAAAATTTGGTCAATACACGCCTCAAACATCTTTGCCACTGTCCATATCGTTAGGCACAGCAGGACTTCAAAATGGACAGTTCCTGCTTGAAGGACCCCCAAACAAAGATTTTTTTGATTTTATAGAGAGGTTTTGCTTGAGCACTGTGCGTGTTGACGTTGCTTTTCCATTCCCATAGCTTGAAATTGGGACGGATTGGGGATGATTCGGAATCAGTGGGGGTACGTGCATGTACTGGGCTTCAATGTGGACCCATTGTCTTTATAAAATCAAAAAGGTTCAAAAAATTCCAGAAACTGGACTCTGTTTATATGTTTCCCGCCTCCTTGAGCTCTAGACTCTAAACTCCAAAATTTGGTCAGTAAACATCCTTGCCCCTTTCCATATCGTGAGGCACAGCAGGACTCCAAAATGGACAGTTCAGGTTTGAAAGGCCCCCCGGTAGCGACTAACTTGTCGATTTTATAGAGAGGTTGTGCTTGAGAACTGCGCGTGTTGACGTTGCCTTTCAGCAGCTTGAAATTGGGACGGATTGGGGATCATTCGGAAATCAGTAGGGGTACTTGGTGCATGTACTCGGCTTCAATATGGACTCATTGCCTCTATAAAATCAAAAAGATTCAACAAATTCCAGAAAATGGACTCTTTACATATGTTTCCCGGCTCCTGGCCCTCTAAACTCCAAAATTTGGTCAGTACATGCCCCAAACATCCTTGCCACTTTCTATACCGCAAGGCACCGCGGACCGCAGGACTCCAAAATGGACAGTTCAGGTTTGAAGGACACCCAAATAGAAACTAATTCGTCGATTTTACAGAGAGTTTTTGCTTGAGCACTGCGCGTGTTCACGCGTGTGATCGGCGTCAATATGGACCAAATCTCTCTCTCTCTCTATCTCTTTAAAATTAAAAGTGTAACCTCCCACCCCGCTAAATTCCAAAATTGGGTCATTACTCGCTTCCAACATCTTTATATAAAGCTTTCCATATAGTGAGGCACAACAGCACTCCGAAATGGATAACTGATAACTCATGTTTGAAGGGCCCCCGAATAGGGACCAGTGACTAATTCTTCGATTTCATCTGGAAATTTTGCTTCAACAATCCCGGTGCCAAAAAAGTGTCCCAAAATGGCAATTGTTTTCCAAGTTCTGGTGTTTGTTTTCATTTAATTGAACCTGATTCAGCAAACTATGGAAATTGATGGTATCCCAAGCCACAACCATCCCAAAAGAAACTTTTCTATAAAATCAAAGGCCCGGGCCCAGCTTGTATTGACATCTCTTTCAAACAGTTCCACTATAACTATAACATCAGAGACCAGGTACCCCAATAGTAAGGGTGCACATGCTTCAACAAACTTTGTAAAACCACCATCTTGGAGATCCTGATTTTGTACTGGACCAGGTGGATGACCTTCAAGGAAAAAACCTGCACCCGATATCTAGATTTTATAGGGAACTTTGGTGGTTACAAACAGGCATGTGTATTCATGTTTTTTTGTTTTTTGATTTTATAGAGTCGTATTTCTTGCAATATGATTTTTATCCTGGTTTTAGAAAGATTCCCAGAATGTACCCTTATAGTGGAAACCAGGTACCTCTATAAAATGGCGGTCTCTGGGAGACTCTTGAAATTCACAAGGGGATCTCTCTGCTAGAAAATCATGGTTGGTAGCCCCCCAAAAAATACGGCTCACAATCTATGAGAGAGCTGCCATCAAAATGAGGTAACCCAGTCCTGAATTTTATAGTGATCTTTGGGATTCATATTTTGTCTTTAAAAGGGAACATTTTCAAGGTTGTGTACTGATTTTGTAGGCATTTTGCAGTATTGGGGGGCAGCCTATACTTGTTAGATTTTATAGCTTTGTACATCCCTGTGTAGGGCTGGACACTTTGATTTTATAGAAATGACAGGGTTATCGGGGGGCTGCGCGCCACCAAATTAAGGGTTCCCCCCCAATATGCAAGGGGATACCTTTGGTGAGAGACTCTTGAACTACATAAAACATCATAGAACATCATAGAACATCATAGAACTAAGACATACTAAGACATAATAAGACTATAATATGGGAACAGATCCATAAAATCAAAAGTAAAGGGACAACAACAACCACTATAAAATCAAAAGGTTGCAGTGCAACATTTGCATCTTCCGGATCCAGAAATTGAATCCTCAAAGTGGGGGTCATTGAACTTTTGATTTTATAGACCTGTTATGTTGCCTTAAAAGGCTGTCCAACGGTACGTTGGTGACCCTGATTTTACAGACACTCGTGTTTTTTTGGGTGTTTTTGGTGGGTTTATATATTTTTTGATTTTATAGATCATTAACTATGGTGGTATGGGTGTTTTTTTTTGATTTTTTAGAGGTGCCACAGGGGGGGGGGGCTGGGTACCACCATTTTATGCACTATAAAATCAGGGTCCCTTGGGTACCCCCCGATTCCCGAAGGGGGATGTATAAATTAAGAAGAAACCTTGGGCTGCCAGACATCCAGAGTTTCGGCTTTGAGGCGGAGACATCCTGCAGGCTGCGAAAGAAGGCAACGTCGGAGCTGTCCGACGCTTGCTGCAGAAGGACCCCCCGAGCCTGGAGCAAGTCGACAAAGATGGCGGACACCTGAGAAGGGATAGGCTTGAAGGTTGAGCAGGTTGCTCTAGGTGCGCAGCTGTGACTTCCTTGGGTTTTGAGAGAGGTTCAGTCGGAACATGATCGACCGACCTGTGCAATTGCGCGTGGTGTCGCCATCATCAGCGGAGCCTGAGGCGACGGGCCGCTGACGTATGCGGCTGTGCACGGCCACCTGGAGGTGGTCGAGGCGCTGCTGGCCGCGGGCGCCTCCGTCGAGGCGAAGAACCACAACGGCCGCGGCCCTCAGAGACGGGACGGATGTGACAGGACGGACGTGGTGGGAAGGCGGTGCAATAGGCGACATGAAAGAAATGCGACACGACATTGAGTTTGCTGCAGTTTTGGGATCTTCAGTGTACTTTGCGTGATTCCATGTTGAGAAGTCAACTACCAGTAGACAGCAGTTGCAAGTTTGTGTTGTGGGTATGTCACACAGTGGTTCGGGTGGTCAGTCAAGTTTAGGGGACATTTTGCGGGTCTATATAGTACAGTTAATTATGGCAGATGGATGCAAATGGATTCTAATGATTTCTTGCCTAGATTGTACTGTGTTATTGTGAATCTTTGATCTGGTTTGCAGTGTATGGCACGGCAGAGGTGTGACTTCCCAATCAGTTGATCCTGATTTCGATAGGCAGTGATACATGTCTCAATTAGAAATGTTGGACCAAACATGACCAAACTCCCAATTTTTCAGACCCGAAATCCTCCGAAATCCTCCGAAGCAACTCATGTGACTTGGCGCGTCCCGTCGCCATCTCCAGCGGCGCCCTCCGGACCGAGGCGAGGGGCCGCTGCACCTGGCGGCTGCAAACTGCCACCTGGAGGTGGTCGAGGCGCTGCTGGCCGCCGGCGCCTCCGTCGACGCGAAGAGCAACAGCGGTCCCGGCCCCCAGAGAAGGGATGGATGCGACAGGACGGACGTGGTGGGAAGGCGGTGGAACAGGCGAAATGTGGAAGAGATGCGACACGCCATTGAGTTTGCTGCCAGTTTTGAGAACTTTGTTCCAGGAATCTTCAGTGACTTCAGTGTACTTTATGTAGACAGAAGACAGCAGTTGCAAGTTGGTGTTGCGGGATGTTGCGGGTGTGTCACACTTGACATTATTAATTTTGCGGGTCTAGTATTATTAATTATGGAAGCTGGATGCAAATGGATTCTAATGATTTTCTTGCTGAAATTGTAGTGTGTTATTGTGAATCTTTGATCTGGTTTGCAGTGTTTCGGCACGGCAGAGGTGTGACTTCCCATCCCAATCAGTTGATCCTGATTTCGATAGGCAGTGATGCATTTCTCAATTAGAAATGGACCAATCTCCAAATTTTCAGACCCGAAATCCTCTGAAGCAACTCATGTGACTTGGCGCGTCCCGTCGCCATCTCCAGCGGCACCCTCCGGACCGAGGCGAGCAGCCGCTGCACCTTGCGGCTTGGACATGCAACCTGGAGGCGGTCCAGGCGCTGCTGGCCGCGGGCGCCTCCGTCGAGGCGAAGAGCGATAAAGGCTGCGGCCCCCAGAGACGGGACGGATGCGACAGGACGGACGTAGTGGGAAGGCGGTGCCATGGATTTCTGGATGAAATTCGATGGTGTTTGCCACCTTAGCTGGAGATGAACCTCCAGCAGGTGAGAGCCACAGGGTGGAGAATTTGAAGGAAATAAGGCACATGAAGTCATGAAGTTGTCCCTGCTGGGATACACAGCTTTGGAGAGGTGATCTTGCACATGTGCAACCTTGATCAACCCTTTATGGGTGTAAAAGAGCCTGATACAAAAGGTTTTATGATGTTTTATCAGGCATACAACCAGTTCGGTGTCGCTTTTCGGATTTTTCCCGCTTGGGAAGGTATGATCAGGTCGTAATCGTAGTCTTGGTGATCTTCACAAACACCAGCAACGATAGTGGCTGCAGATTCGAGCCTCTTCCACTCAAGTGTGGGGGTGGGCGGTGGAGAGCCACGGGGTGGAGCCAGCCGTTGACGTCTCCGAGCCCTTCGGCGCCTGAGGTGCGACACCGCTGCACTGGGCGGCTGACAACGGCCAAGCCGCCGTCGTGGAGCAGCTCCTCGCCGCGGGCGCCGCCGTGGATGCTGTGGACAACCAAGGCCAGGGGCCCCGGAAACGGCCGGTGGGGACGACAGGGGATGGAGGGAGGGATGATCTGATGCAGAGCGAGTGAAAGAACAACCTCGGTGACATGTTGTTTGATGACTTTTTGATTGCGTCATGTGCACAGAGCTGTGGCAGGATAAAACTAATAGGTGGTATTTGCTGTAGATGGGATTGGGATTTGGTGAATTTTCTCAAACGCCATAGAGAGATATTTGGCAAGTGACAATACATGAGGTGACAAAGCGACAGAACACCGTGGCATCCACGGGCATTTTTCGGGTGCCCCATCACTCCAGGGATATAACACGAACTGCCCACGCGCAATGTCGACCTTTGACAAAACATTCTCTGCATGTCGATGGTAAGACATCGATGTGAAACACCACAAGACATCATAAGACACGTTGAGAGAGAAGAACTCTTGCACATGTGCTATCTGTATGTGCCTACTGTATGGGTGTGAAAGAGAGCCTGAGAATGCTCGAGATACGTTGAGATAAGTTCAATTTGTTAGGCGGTTTTCCCCTTTTCGGATATCCTTTTCTGGAAGGTGCCATCAGTTCGTAGTCTTGGTGATCTTCACAAACACCAGCAACGATAGTGGCTGCCATTGAGCCAGCTTGCCACACAATTTTGAAAAGATGAAATTCACGGACTTCACTCCGCAGATTCGAGCCTCTCCCAGTCGAGTGTGGGGGTGGGCGGTGGAGAGCCACGGGGTGGAGCCTCCAGCCGTTGACGTCTCCGAGCCCTTCGGCGCCTGAGGTCGGACACCGCTGCACGACGCGGCGAAATGGGGCCACACCGCTGTGGTGGAGCAGCTCCTCGTCGCGGGCGCCGCCGTGGATGCTGCAAGCAGCGATGGCCAGGGGCCCTGGAAACGGCCGGTGGGGAGTGGGGACGACAGGGGTGGAGTGGAGGGATGATCTGATGCAGAGCGAGTGAAAGAACAACCTCGGTGACAAGTTGTTTGATGACTGTCAATGCGCCATGTGCACAGAGCTGTGGCAGGATAAAACTAATAGGTGGTATTTGCTGTAGATGGGATTTGGATTTTGGGAATCTTCTCAAACGCTATGGTGAGATATTTGGCAAGTGGCGATACATGAGGTGTCAAAGCGACAGAACACAGTGGCATCCACTGGCATTTTTCGGGTGCCCCATCACGCCAGACATATAACACGAATTGCCCACACGCAATGTCGACCTTTGACAACACATTCTCTGCATGACGATGGTAAGACATCGATGTGAAACACCACAAGACATCATAAAACATCCTGAGAAAGAAGAACTCTTGCACATTTGCTACCTGTAATGATGGGCCTACTGTATGGGTGTGAAAGAGCGCTTGAAAATATTTGAGATATGTTGAGATAAGTTTTCTTAGGCGTAAGAAATCGGTTTTCCCTTTTTCAGATTTTCTGGTTCGTAGTCTTGGTGATCTTCACAAACACCAGCAACGATAATGGCTGCCATTGAACCAGCTCACTATACAATGTTGAAAAAGATGAAACTCACGGACTTCACTCCACAGATTGCAGTTTCTCCCACTGCAGTGGGGGTGGGCGGTGGAGAGCCACGGGGTGGAGCCCTCCAGCTGTTGACGTCTCCGAGCCCTTCGGCGCCTGAGGTCGGACAGCGCTGCACTGGGCGGCTGGCCGTGGCCGCGCCGCCGTCGTGGAGCAGCTCCTCGCAGCGGGCGCCGCCGTCGATGCAGCGGACAACCTAGGCCAGGGGCCCCGGAAACGGCCGGTGGGGACGACAGGGGATGGAGTGGAGGGATGATCTGATGCAGAGCGAGTGAAAGAACAACCTCGGTGACATGTTGTTTGATGACTGTCAATGCGCCATGTGCACAGAGCTGTGGCAGGATAAAACTAATAGGTGGTATTTGCTGTAGATGGGATTTGGATTTTGGGAATCTTCTCAAACGCTATGGTGAGATATTTGGCAAGTGGCGATACATGAGGTGTCAAAGCGACAGAACACAGTGGCATCCACCGGAATGTTATCACTGCAGTGATATAACACAAATTGCCCACACGCAATGTCGACCTTTGACAAAGCATTCTCTGCATGACGATGGTAAGACATCGATCTGAAACACCACAGGACATCAGAAGACATCTTAAGAGACATGACAAGAACTCTTGCACATTTGCTACCTGTATGGGCGTACTGTGGGTGTGAAAGAGAGCTTGAGAATGCTCGAGATATGTTGAGATAAAGCTTAACTTGTTAAGCATAAAACGGTTTTCCCTTTTCGGATTTTCTGTTTTGGAAGGTTCCATCAGTTCGTAGTCTTGGCGATCTTCACAAACACCAATAGTGGCTGCCATTGAGCCAGCTCGTTATACAATTTGGAAAAGGATGAAACTCACGGACTTCACTCCACAGATTGCAGTTTCTCCCACTGCAGTGGGGGTGGGCGGTGGAGAGCCACGGGGTGGAGCCCTCCAGCTGTTGACGTCTCCGAGCCCTTCGGCGCCTGAGGTCGGACAGCGCTGCACTGGGCGGCTATCGACGGCGACGCCGCCGTCGTGGAGCGGCTCCTTGCCGTGGGCGCCGCCGTGGATGCTGTGGACAGCGATGGCCGGGGGCCCCAGAAACGGCCGGTGGGGACGACAGGGGGTGGAGTGGAGGGATGATCTGATGCACAGTGAGTGAAAGAACAAACTCGGTGACAAGTTGTTTGGTGATTTTGAATGCATCATGTGCACAGAGCTGTGGCAGGATAAAACTGATAGGTGGTATTTGCTGTAGGTGGGATTGGGATTTTGTGAATCTTCTAAAGTACATGCACTGCACCAGCGAAGCCAGACACATGAACGTATTCTGGGTTTGTTTCAGGCTGTGGGAATTGTTTTTTTTGGCGCTGTCATGGTGGGATGTTTGGCAAGTGTCAACATGGGGTGACAAACCGACACAAACCACAGAAGACAGTGGCATCCACTGGCACAGTAAGAACTTGTTAAGAATGATATGATTTTGGAAACAGCGATTAGGATACCAACGATAAGGTTATATATAGGGGGTGAAAGTGGGTGATATGATATGTAGGAAATATGCTAGTACGTCCTCCAGACATCAACGTAAAGCATCCGTAAAACAACTTGAAAAGCAATGACACTAAATGAATCTAAATGATACTACTGGTATCTGGATTTTGGGGCCAAACTCAGCCCCACATCCGTCTACACCGGGCCTTGGCACTTTCAGCTGCGTATGGCAAGGCAAGACGCCGTACGACTGCGCCAAGCAAAACGACCACCGGCAGGTGATGGGTGTGCTAGACCCGGTCCCTTGGCGCTGGGTTGAGCATCTCTTGGTGCACCAAAGCTTCGGCACACGTAGGCTATAGGAACTCACCAAGAAATGACAATGGTTCTTATTGGGTCGTTGCAATCCTGATGTTGTTAAGGTGTCATGCGCTCGAATTGACTCCGATGCGTTGTCATTCTTTTTGTGAGGTATTTGTGGCCCTTCTAAGTGGCCGGAGCTGCAGATGTGCCTTGGCTGCACCAAAAGCAGCGGAAGCCTTGCAAAACACAAACAACTTTGATGCAGATACCACAGCAGTAATGAACATAATTGTAAAACAAATGCGATGATGCATGATGTGAGATGATATCAGTAGATTGATTTTATATACTACCTTCGTATACTTGACATGAATTGCGAAGAGATGGGTTTGTTTTGAGCTGGCGAGAAATAATGTGATCCGCAGCCATGTTGTAGAATTTCGTCCTAAACCTATCGCAGTATAAGATAAAGATAGATAAAGATTATGTAGCCATGCTGTCCATAACTTGGTTTTGGACACCTCCACCAGGGGAAAATACCGAGGCAACTCTGCACATGAAACTGTACAAGACTTGAAGGAAGAAGCTGAGCGGCTTGGCATCCTTGCAGTTCAAGCTTTGGGCCAGTTTTTTATTGTTGGCAGCCTTTTTGTAGTCAGAAAGTGTGAAGGCTTTGTGACAAGGGTTTCCAAGTTCCTTTTTTGGGATGAAATGCTTCATTCTTCCACTTTCCTTCCACAAAAGTTCTGTCATTGCGACGTTTTTTTTTGCATATATAATGTATGATATATGAAGTAGAAGCAGAATCGTGGTGAGTTTGAGCGAAGCGCTTCTAGATATCATTACTCCGATTGCAATGACAGGGCCAATCATGGTAACCTCTTTTGTGCACTGTGCTTGCTGCTTGAAGACTTCCTTGATGAATGTTGCCTGAGTATATCTGACCAATTATGGCAAGAAATGTGAAGAAAGATGTTGGGGCCACACCACGCAACAATAGTTCTGCGACCATGAATTGTAGCAAGAGCGAAGGGCTTTGGTGCTGCGAGTTGTTGGATGTTGCAAATGGTTGCAAGCAGAACTTGTTGGCTCTGGCAAATATAGAGGCAGAGCATTCCCCCAGCCTTTCGTGTAAGATGCTTGAAGTTTCAATGGTTTCACTCACTTCCTGGTTGAATGGATTCATTGCCTTTCAGGGTTGCGTCTGCCATCGATGCTCTTCCATTGATCTCGTGATGACATTTTATATGTTTTCCAAATTTCCACCAATATATATATATATATGTTAGAGAGACCTTTCTGTACTATTTGACGGCTGAAGATTCCTTCTGAATTTCCTTTAAGTTTAACTTTTATTTATTTTCTCAGGAGCTCTAAATTTTAATAAATAAAATAAATATTTATTTTATTTATTTTATTTCTTTTCTCAGAAGCTTCAAAATTTAATAAATAAAATAAATAAAATAAATATTTATTTTCTCAGCCAAATCTTCTCCACGCAGACCTCCAAAATAAAATAAATAAAATAAATAAAATAAATAACATAAATAAAATAAATAAAATAAATATTTATTTTATTTATTTTATTTATTTTCTCAGGAGCTCAAATTTAATAAATAAAATAAATAGAATACATATTTATTTTATTTATTTTATTTATTTTCTCAGGAGCTCCAAATTTTAATAAATAAAATAAATCAAATAAATATTTATTTTATTTATTTTATTTGTTTTATTTATTTTATTTTGGAGGTCTGTGTGGAGAAGATTTGGCTGAGAAAATAAATATATATTATATATTTATTATTTTTTTATTTTGTTTATGTTCTCAGGAGCTCAAAATTTTAATAAATAAAATAAATAGAATAAATATTTATTTTATTCGTTTTATTTATTTTCTCAGGAGCTCCAAATTTTAATAAATAAAATAAATCAAATAAATATTTATTTTATTTATTTTATTTATTTTATTTTGGAGGTCTGTGTGGAGAAGATTTGGCTGAGAAAATAAGTATTTATTTTATTTATTTTATTTATTTTCTCAGGAGCTCTAAATTTTAATAAATGAACTAAATAAAATAAATATTTATTTTATTTATTTTATTTATTTTCTCAGGAGCTCCAAATTTTAATAAATAAAAGAAAATACAGAGCCTCAAAAACAAAAAAAGAAAATAGATAAAATAAAGTTTTTTTCTTTATTTTCTTTATTTACTTTTCCAGGTGTCCAGCAGGATGGAATCTATAGAAAATAAAGATATATGTTCTTTATTTTTATTATTATTCTGAAGCCTCAAAAAGAAAATAAAAGAAATAGAGAACATATAGATCTATTTTCTTTATTTTCCTGGAGCCTTAAAAAGAAAATAAAGAGAATACATAAATTAAATCTTAATTTTCTTTATTTTCCTGGAGCCTCGAAAATAAAAAAGACCATAAATAAAGATATATTTTCTTTATTTTCTTTATTTTTCTGGAGCCTTAAAAAGAAAATCCCAAGAGGTCCCCAGAATCCCAGGTCCTTTGGAGATTTACAAGATTTAGAAGAATTAAACGATTTAAGTATTTAATTCTTTTAAATCTTTTAATTCCCCAGAGCTTTAAAAGCTTTAAATATTTAATTCTTTTAAATCTTTTAATTCTTTTAAATCTTTTAAATCTTTGAAGTCTCCAGGAATCCTCCAACAATAGGGTCAGCTCACGATTTAAATATTTTAACTCTTTTAATTCCTCAGAGCTTTAAAAGATTTAAAAGATTTAAATCCCAATAGGTCCTCAGAATCCCACGTTCTTTGGGGATTTACATATTTCAAGCATTCAACACATTTTGAATATTTCGACAATATATCTGCCAGGATTCCACCCTCTTTTAAGAATTACAGAAGTTAAAACGAATATTCGATCACTAAATCTCAGAGACAAAGCTGTTCTGCAGCATTATTTTCTTATAAATCTATTCAGTCAAAGCTTGTCCGGTTGAGTTTTGGGGGCCCCTGGTGGATTAAGATCTTTAAATATACAACTATATTTAAATAACTATTTGAACCTTTTGTATATATTATAAGACTAAATGATATGTAAATATAATGACAATCCCCGATCGAATTTCCCTTACAGAATGGAAGGTGTCGACCCTCTTACAAATGGTTTATATAGGGTCATTTTGTAGTTACAAAAAGACCCCTAACCAGGCCGTTTTGTAACAGGGCACCCAAAAGGCAAAGTTGTGGATTTTCAAGTGTTCATTTTGTAAGAGTTTTGAGGTGCCAAGTCATTTTATAAGACCATCGAGTTTGTCTTTTTGAGGCTTTTTGTAAGCTCAAGATGCTGTTATTGAACATCAAAAAAAACAAAAAAAACTCAGTGTGCAATGACATTTTGTAAGGAGATGTCATCAAGAGTAGAAGAACCTTTTTGTAAGAATATATGCTTTTTAGGCATTGATACAAAGTATTGTTCAGATTTGTACATGTTTTTGATTCGCCTCAATCATTTGATAGCTGTTTTGGCTATTTCCGAAAAGGCCCCAGCCCACAGTCCTGACACATCCCAATGGCGTGGCTTCTTGTGGTTCTTTTGGTGAGTTGGCTCCACATAGGTACTATATAGGTACTATGTAGGTTAGGTTCACTACAAAATGCCAAGGTGTTGCTACCCTACAGGGGAGGAGTGTTTATTTTAGGAAGCTTCCTGGGGCTACCAGCACCTTGTCATTTTGTAAGGCACAGTTCAAGTTTTAGGGCAGCCATGGCAGCAATTTTTGGATTTGGTGGAGGCACCAACTTTCTTCTTGGTGTTGTGTTGGCCGAGGATGGCCAAGAATCTTTTGCAAGTTGTAAGTGTGACGACGTTCATGGCTATCTTATGTGTTTTTTTGTACATGTTCTTTTGTGTTCATTTTTTTGGTACTCATGTGATAATACAAACGCGAGACATCATGAAAGGAGTTCTGGTAGGCAATGAGGCCAAAGAAGCAAAAATACAAAAAATATAAAACAAACCAAAAGGTGGCAAAAACTGGAATCCTTACAAAAAGGCTGCTTGAAAATCAACGAGTCCGGGAAAATCAGAAACAGGGAACCAGAAGTTGTGTCCTTACAAAATGATGCCCGAAAACGCCATCTAAAATCACAACTTCTTATAAAAAAGTCATCGACAAATATACAACTTCCATATCATGAAGAAAGTCGTCACCTTATAAAATGGTATGGGTGTTTGAAGTCGAATGAGGGTGCTAAAACCCTATGCTTTTTGTAAGGGCCAAAACTCCCAAAAACCGACTCTTTTTGTAGGGTTTTTCAAAATCCCATGGAATTGTACTACAACAAGCCGGGTGCGACACCTCCCCCCTAATTCGAAGGAGGATTAATGACAGATATAAAACTATGTGTATATATATATATAACTTGAAACACAACTACATATGTATTTCACTATTATATTATATATATACATACATGATTATATATATATTATATAAGAAAATATGGAACAATGTATTTACAAGTATGCAAAAATTGGATTCACATAAAAAAAAACGGAATTAGGGGGATTGGGGGAGGATGCAGCCCCCCCCCCAAAAAAAAAAATTGAATATGGTACTCAAGGTGTATATACTGGGCAACATGCATCTTGTGACCATATGGAACGTATGTTGAGGCAGAACCGTGACAGTCATGGAAAACGTGGTGAAACACAAATCAAGTAGATATAGTGGGAGAATAGGTTTCAACAAGTGTCCTGAAATACTGTTTTCAGAGCCCAAAAAAGGGCTAATTAAAAGGACACTTGTTGAAAACATATGTCAATTCCTCTCACAAATAAAAAATACAAAAACCAACAAACCGCAAAAGCCAACGAGCCAAAATAACGTCAAGTATATACCTTCAATATGTATTACATTGAATTTATTTCATAACATTTTTTCTTCAGAAATCGTTTGCGAAGATGACTTTACTTCGGAACATCTACTTTTACCTGAGAAGTCACTGGGAGAAATTTTGTTTTTCTTTCATGGTATTTACATTTTGCAGCAAAGGACTCAAAGGACATAAACTTATACAGGTTCCACATGCTAATTTCTTCACATTCCTCACAACATTTGGACATTCCTTCTGTCTCCACTATCAGATTCACGGAAATTCGGAAAAGCTATCACACATCTTTTGGCGCATTCTTGATGCACTTTTGATGCGCTTTTGATGC